TTTTTTTTTTTTTTTTTTTTTTTTTTAGTCTCATTGCTTTGGCTACCTTAGGGCTGCATTCCCCGCGCCCACGCGCGGTAGACAATCAATATGGAACGGGGGGGGCAAGCCAACTATCTCAATTGCTTGGTAGCAAGAGTGCCGCTGGTGGTCAGTGGGGATTGAACCCACGACCTCGTGGATGCCTCTTGCGTGCCTAAGGTCCAACTGAGCTGGGCCGCTTGCTCAGAGTTCTCCTCCAGAGTTGTGTTTTGCCACAAGTTGAGGTACAACCAGAGTTTTCCTTCAAGTCGTACTTCGCAAGTGTCATGCTGAGGGCTTGACGATTCAGTGCGGTGGCCAATGGCGTAGGGGGGAAAATGTATGCTACCGGTAGAGGTGAGGGTCTCGTTGGCCGTCTGGCCCTTCCCAGTTCTTTTCTTTTTATTTCCCCCCCTTCCACCGGGCCCCCTCTGCCTTCTTTTTGTCCACGTGTCTCGTCGTTCTGCTGTGTTTTGCCTTTGTTTGCCGCGACCTCCACGCGAAACAAACATGGCCGGCTGCGGAAAAGACGGGAAAAAGCAGGTCGTGCTTGACACTTGGTGATGCAGCGCTGCAATGCAACGCACGCAATCAAGCCGTCTTTGTGTGGTGCGTGGGGGACCGGTTGTGCGCGGGGAAGGTGGTCTGGTGTTTTAGCGGCTTTGGCGCGTTGCTGGTGACTTGCGGCGGTGGCGGTGCAGCTGCGCGCGCTCCACGGCCAGAGGAGACGAGTGGGAGTGGGCTGAGGGGGACGGGAAGGGGCGTGCGCGCGGGCGTCGGTGCGCGTGGGCGTGCGGGTGCGGGTGCGCGTTTGCTTGCGTGTGGGAAGTGGAACAGGAAGCGGCGACAGCAGCGCGGGACGATCTGGCTGAATCCACGCGAAAACTTGAGCGAGACTGTGAGAGTGATAGTGAAAGTGAAAGTGACAACCTCAGCCGGGTGGAAGGGCGTTTTGCTGCTGCAATTGGTGGGGTGGAGTGGTGACTTGGCATCGGCTTTACCGATTTGACACGATCGCGGGTCGTCGATCATTCGGACAGCTGATCGCCTGTCTGTCTACGTGGAACAGCTTTGTACCCTCTTTTTGTCTTGTAGCGCCCCTGCACTCACATTCCCTGAATAAGTAATCAGCGTCTGGCGCCAGCCAAAGCAAACGCGCAGACTGTGTTTGAAACCTCAACTAGCATAGCATTATTTTTGCTAGTATTATTTACTCTACTACTACTACTTATCCAGTAGCGTGTGCAATAGTGAATAGCCAAATAGCCAAAAAGAAGTAGTGGACGCTTCACTGGGTCCGACGTCAGCCGCGCTCGGCTTCTCCTCTATTCCCTCCTCCAACGCCATCGGGGCTGTTCCATACTCATCTTCTCTTGCGCCTGGTTTCCTCACTCCCGCACATATCGTGTGGCTGACGTCGGCGCCATCTCTACCTTTCTCCTCGATCTCCATCTCCTTACCGAATTTGTATCGTATCCCCTCGCCCCTGACTTCTTTCGTCCTTTTATCTGTCCATTGGGTGACTGCAAAGCTTGTCTCTGCAAGTCGATCTTCTTTGTGCACTTGCGCGGGCATGACACGTGATGGTCCGTGTGCGCGCGCGATCCTCCTCTGGCGCGGTGGCGGGTTTTCTCACTCGGGAGTCCCTTGTGCTGTTTTAGGGATTACTACCTGGGGCTGGGGCGCGGGCTGGAAGGAGAAGGAGGCGCATGCCGTGGGATGTGGTAGTATCGTCCTGGAGCTGATTGATTGATTGATTGATTGGTGTGCGTGGGCGGACGAGATCGCACCGTTGGCGGCCTGCGGCAGGAGTTGACAGTGCATTATTCCACGTAACTCATGCGTAGACTCGATGCGGAAGGAGCATGCGGGAGAAGGACGAGGTTTACACTGAGGGAACAGGTTGGCAGGAAAGCCGGGGACCGAACGCCTACTGGTTCCCTACTGGTTCCCTGAGAGGAGGAGAGGTTTGCGCTCGTGTCGACAAGGTGCTGGCGTGACCTTTCCACTCCCAAGAGAGCGGGAAGAGGTGAGGTTACCTGGGGGAAAGTGAAGAGGAAGGAGTGTAGTGTTGCGCTGGAACTAGCGGGTGGAAGAGGGAGGGAAGGAAGGGAGTGGCGGAAGTTGCGCTGATTGACGACGACGGGGACGAGTTGGGGAGGGGGGGAAGGGAAGGACGACTTGGCTTCTAGGGAGGTTCGAGGGGTGTGGCGCGATCAGGAAGGCCACGGGGTAGGAAAGATTGCGTAGTTAGTATCCGCGTGCGTATGCTTGGGGTGAAGGTTTCATGACGCAGGGTCATCTATGGTGGTGAGCATGCTTTGGTGGGCAGTTTCTTCGCGCGTTGCCTGCTTCAAGGTGTAAGGAGAATGCACTCAAGGAGTGTGTCCGGGCTCTTGCATTGTCTTCTCGTGGTTCTTTTCTATTCTTTTGCGGACGGTCGACCATTTCAAGATCGAATTCTTGGAGAATCAGATTGGCCTTCACAGGTGAGCAGAAGCCGCTGCACAGAGCCACCCGGGGAGAGAGAGAGAGAGAGAGAGAGAGAGAGAGAGAGAGAGAGAGAGAGAGAGAGAGAGAGAGAGAGAGAGAGAGAGAGAGAATTCTTTTTGTCCTCGTATTCTTCGTTGGACCATCATCAGGAGTTCGTGTTTGATCGCAGCGAATTTACGCGCAAAGCACTTTCTTCCTCTTCTTGTTCGCCCATCGTCATATCGTTTCTATCTTTCGCCGATCCGAACTAGGAAATAAAGACAGCAATCCGCTGAATCTGTGTGGCTAAATCCGCACTCCCCCGCTCCCAGGTGGTGCTTTAGTTGTCGTTGCGCGGTCATAAACATCCGCAGGTGAACGAGCGGAAGAAGCCGCAATCCAATTTCTTAATCTTGTTGAATCATAATCCCATTACTTGGCGTTCTTAATCTTGTTTTCCATGCGCTGCGCAGTGCGCCTGCTTCTTGTCACACTATCATCACGATACAGCGTTACCCTATCATCTCCTTACGCTGTGGAGGTTCTTGCTGTCGTTAACCCTGTCATCATCACGACTTCGCTGTTCTTTTCTTTTCTCTTCCTTACGCTGATCGCAACAAGCGAATGGTCTCAGCAATCCGCCGAATATCAAGTGCGCATACTCGCTCCCACCTTCCTGGCCTTTTCATGTTGCGCGTTCTTCTTCAACGACGACAACGAATGGTCTCAGCAATCCGACCGAATCTCAAGTGCGCATACTCGCTCCCACCTTCCTGACCTTTTCATGTTTTCATGCTGACATTACGGTTAGATACATCTTTGTTTGTACTGAAAAATACCTTCAACGACGACCAGCAATCCGCTGAATCTCAAGTGCGCGTTCTTCTTCTTGTTGCACTGTCATCATCGCGAGTTCGCGTTCTTCTTTTTTCTGGCCCTGGTCCCAACGAATGCGTACCCAGAGCAATCCCTTAATTCTCTCAGTGCATATTCACTCTTCCACTTTCCTAACCAATCACGACTTCGCTGCTCGTACTTCTTCCTTGAGCTGATCGTAACAAGCGAAAGCTCTCAGCAATCCGCTGAATGTCAATTGCATACTCGTTCCCACCTTCCTGGCTGTTTCATGCCGCCACTACACGGTCAGAAGTCTTTTTGTTGAACTGAACGATCCTTCAGCAGAGATGACCACCAATCCCGCTGAATCTGAAGTGCGCGTTCTTCTGTGTGTTGCACTGTAATCATCACGAGTTCGCTCTTCTTTCTCCTGACGCTGGTCCCAAGGAATGGGTACCCAGAGCAATCCCTTAAATCTCTCAGTGCATATTCACTCTCCCACTTTCCTGACCAAATCTCGTCTTTTGTCTCGAGATCTGTGACATCCACTAAATGGAATTGTCTTGAGGTGTACGAGAATCAGGCTAGGCTATTAAGCTGTGGACGTTGTGGATGGGATTGTCGCGAGATTCATCCAGGTCTGGCTGAATTTTTTTTTTTTTTATAATTATAACTGGCTGAATTTGCAGTCAGATATAGTTAGGAAAGTGACAAGTGTGAGTGTGCCTCTGAGAGAGGCACTGCGTCCAGCCGTCAAATTGAATTGAGAAAAGTCCGTCACGAGTGGATTCCTCACTTAGAAGCGCTTTTTTTTCTTAATCTTTAGACGGGATTGCCACCAGATTCATCCAGGTCCGGCGGTAATTGCAGTCAGATACATTGAGGGAAATGCTAGTGCGAATATGTCCTGAGAGAGGCACTGCGTCCAGACGTCAGATTGAATTGAGAAAAGTCCGTCACGAGTGGATTCCTCACTTAGAAGCGCTTTTTTTAGCGCTTTTTTTTCTTAATCTTTAGACGGGATTGCCACCAGATTCATCCAGGTCCGGCTGTAATTGCAGTCAGATACATTTAGGGAAATGCTAGTGCGAATACGTCCTGAGAGAGGCACTGCGTCCAGACGTCAGATTGAATTGAGAAAAGTCCGTCACGAGTGGATTCCTCACTGAGAAGCGCTTTTTTTTAAAATTAATGTTTAGACGGGATTGCCACCAGATTCATCCAGGTCCGGCTGTAATTGCAGTCAGATACACTTAGGGAAATGCTAGTGCGAATATGTCCTGAGAGAGGCACTGCGTTTTGACGTCGGAGTGAATTGAACATAGCCCGTAACGATTGGATTCCTCACTTTGTATTTTAGTACGTACACATTCTGTAGAGATACGATCTAACGGAGAAGGTGGAAAGTCTTAAGCTAAAGGAATACGTGCGTGGTACAATGGAACGGAATAGGTGCGGACGTGTATAGATGGCAGGGAGGATAAGGGGGCCTAGTTGCACCACTCGCCATCAGCCAACATATTGAGTGCATCTGAGCACCGGCATTGTCCAGATGCATTCAAAATTTTGGCGGATGGCGAGTGATGTAGCCAGCACCTAAGAGAAGGGAGGGATAGTGTCATTAGAATCAGTTCCGAGGTCCGTGCTACCTTTTTGTCGGGTATTAGCCAGCTGATAATTTTCCTTTCCTTCGTATTTTAGCAGATTATTTTCTAGTGGTGATAAAACTCCAGAAGGACATTACCTGAGTGCCAAGCCTGAATTAGTCGGGTAATAGTCAGCTGATAATTTTCCTTCTTATTTTAGCAGATTATTTTTTAGTGGTGATAAATCTCCAGAAGGACATTACCTGAGTGCCAAGCCTGAATTAGATGTGGAAGGGCTTCAGAGTATATACCCCGCATTCTCTGTCGCTGACTTGCCCACGGGAAAGCCTCTCGAACAGCAAATTACTTAATTTCTGGGTATCGCTGCATTGGAACTCTCGTCAAACCGCAAAACCGACGTCCGAAAATCGATGCAATTACAACCGTCCATCTGGTAGATGAATTTATAAATAGATAGATAGAGGGAGACAGTCTGGTCGATGGATGTAGTTGGTAGAGATAAATAGATACATGAGATAGATAGCCGTTCAGATAGATAGATCGATAGATGTATAGATCGATCGATCGATCGATAGATGGATAGAAAAATAGATAGGTAGTCGGGTCGATGGATATGGTTGATAGGTAGATTGATATACATAGGTACATGAGATAGAATAGATAGCTATTCACACACACAGAGAGAGAGAGAGAGAGAGAGAGAGAGAGAGAGAGAGAGAGAGAGAGAGAGAGAGAGTTGATGGATGGAGTAATGAGCAGATCTTCAACAGATACATGGATGGATGGATGGACGCATGGATAGTAGGTCGATGGATAGATGACAGACAGGTAGATAATACATTATAGATACGCACAGATTGTCAAGCAGATAGCTTAGTCAGATAGATTGACAGATCAATAAGGAGGTAGGTAAATAGATAGCTAGACGCGTTAGATAGGTAGATAGGGACACCCGCATGACATATACAGGGACCCACGCATGCATAGACAGGGAAACGTGCTTTCAGACGCATAAATGGGGAGGTTAAGGGAGGAGAGAGGAAATGAGTTGGAAATGGGGAGGTTAAGAGAGGAGAGAGGAAATGGGTTGGATGGAGAAAAGAAAGAGAGGCGATGGATACGTTCCGGGAGAGAGGGCGAGAGGGCGAGAGAGAGAGAGAAAGAGAGAGAGAGAGAGAGAGTAGAAGTCACAAATACATGAGGTGTTGGAATGTAATTCGGAGAGTGTGATGGCACTGAATTACAGTCTCGTCACTGAAGAGAGAACTCTCAGTTAACGAATGCATTAGGGGTTGTCCATTTTGGGATCATTGCATATTGATTGTATTTCTATTATCAACAATCGGAGTGCTGATTGTATTTCTATTATCAACAATCGAAGTGCTCTTTCCTTCGTATTGAAGGTGTAGAGTGCTCTGTGGGGACGAAAGGCGTGTGTTCTACCATTGAACTCGTGTCTGAGTGGATGAGAGGAGGCCATTGCCTATTACGTGAAGAGCTTTCATGGGAGTAGTTTCCAACTGTGGGTGCGCTGGTTATAACATTCAGAGAAAAAATGATCCGGAATTGTCTGAAGAACCCGTTTACCTGCTGCTGTCTCTCGGTTGGTCATTATTTTGTCCTGGATAGTTTTGACAGACTAAAAATTTTCGTATTTCTTGCGTCTGAGAAGTCAGCGAAACATTTTCTTGAGAGGGGCATTCTGCTTGCTCCAGGGGTGGAGGTGACATATTTTGGCACCTGTTAAAAGTACATGACCCCCCTTTCCAGCGAGAACAGACCGGATGACATTTGTTTATCAACTGGTCATTTTGGCCGTCTGATGAGTTCCTCAGTCGATCGTACGCCTATCATGTGGGTCAAAGTGTATGAGGGAAATGTCATTGCAAGGGAAAGTGCTGATCTGTTTTTTTCTTTCAACTCCTATGGCTTGACGTGCTGGTGCGCTGGGGCGTGTGTGTGTGTGTGTGTGAGACACACACCCACACACATCCACACACACCCACACACACCCACACACACCCACACACCCACACACCCACACACACACACACACAGAAAAAAAAGAGAGAGAGAGAGAGAGAGAGAGAGAGAGACGCTTCCGCGCACAAGTGGAGAGGAGAGATTAGCTGTGATCCGGCTTATGTGTGTTTTGAGAGAGAGAGAGAGAGAGAGAGAGAGAGAGAGAGAGAGAGAGAGAGAGAGAGA